CAGGACATTTCCCTCAAGAAAGAAGGAAAATTTTCTTGGTTTTCAGGAGGATTAAATCTGATTTTTTTCTTTCCTCCAGAGGACATACAACTTCCTAAAGGCTGCTCTTCAAGTGAGGAAAGGTGAGAGAGAAGGAAACTGAGGAAGGGTTGGAGAAGGCTGAGTGTCCATCATAGGAAGCAAGAGTGTGCTGTTTTCAATATATCTGAAAGCATGAGAGGCAGCCCTGCCCAGGCAGCCTTCCTCCTGCTCCAAGAGTGAAGGAGGGATTAGAACAGGAGAGGACTGCAGTGGTGATTGAGGCACAGGGCAGATGGGACTTGCCCGGAACCTGAACCCCAATATTTTCCCTAGAAGCAGGGTACTTGGAAGACTAAGATGAGAGAGGTGGCTGTTCGGGGAAGCACAGCTTGTGGGCAGCAGCAGAGGTAGCCAGTCCCAGGAAGTGCACCATCCAAGTTCAGCGTCCTTGCAGGGCCCAAGAAGGAGGCTGGACTAGGTACCCTAAAGGTTGCCTGTCTCCGTAGAAATGCCCGACAAGCTAGCTCTCCGTTTCAGAAAATCATGTGGATTGGGACCATTATCGTCTCTGTGACAAGAGAGCTTCATTCTCCCTTCTCATAATCCCCATCAGTGCTACCCTGAGCCTTACCCAAAATACACAAATAAAAACAGTATGTTTGCTGTGTAAACCCAGCTTCAATTCAGGTCTTCTACTTCCTTCCATCTACGTTGCACTCTACCCTAATTCTTCCTAAAGAGAAATTATTGAGCCTCTAATGGGTTATACCAGCAGTGGTGGACATAGACCAGAGCCCCTGCCCCTGTGTATTTAGGGACTTTTGTGTGATCTATAGATTTATTGTTCTACCCTTCAGTGAGATGAGGGGGCTCAGAGCCAAATTTACAAAAATTGATGATGATGATGCAATGTGACATTTCTTACATGGATTAGGATAAAAAAAATTCATACATGATACAATACTAATCATTTAGCTTGAAAACTGGGTTTATACAACAAATATGTACACCTTTACTGTCGGCATTACATTTTCATTCTCCATAAACAATGAAGGTTTTAAAAAACTATCAAGATCCTACTTGGGTTGTTCAAAAAAAGGAGATTTTTGTATAGAGCTAGGCAAAGTCTTGAAAGGACAGCAGCGTAATGGTGTGGGTCAAACATGATGCAGGGGAGAGACATCAGAGAGAAATTCTATACCCAGAGGGCTTCTCTGCTATAACTCCAAAGGCCCTGTGTTTTGTTTCCAAAACAAAAACCACTGTCTTGTACTACAATATTAGTGTGTATTGACTTTCTATACAGTTCAGATTAAGAAAAAACTTACAAAATTGTTAAGACAAAATGGCTTTCTGCCTCAGAAATCACTAAAGCAAACATGGAAAACTAGAAACCTATAGATTAACTCTGGCTCAAAGACTTTTAATATTCAGAAAGTATATATTTAAAATTTTAAGTAGGTGTTAACAAATATAAATCGATTCACATAAAAATCTTTGTTTTCTAGCTTTTTTTGAAAAATCAGATTTGGGCCCCTATATATTCACCTGGCAACCATCAGCTGGACCAAAAAAACCCACTGAGTTCTTTAAATACCCCCAGCTCACCAGTCTAGCACCTTCAGTCCCTGGTCTGTTTCATTCATTTGTGTACCCAGTGGTTCCCAAAGGTATCTAAATTGGTGACCTCAGCATCAAAAATGTCAGAAATGATAACGCAACTAGGAATGAGGGATACCCCAGCTTCTGAAGACCAAAGAAGACCTCGATGTTTCCACAGCCTCTGACTGACTGCACTGCACACTTATCCATCAGAGGTAGAGCAGATCTTGTGTCTACTTACTTTTTTGTATTTTGCCAGTGCTGAACTACCTGATAAGGCAGATTTCCTCTCAGTTAAATTAAACAATAGCTACTAGCTACTCAGTGTACATAGGTACCAAAAGGACACTTAAAGAGCTGATTCAGAACCTAACTCTTCTGATTATAATAGGTTACGCAGGTTGCTCTTAAATTAATGGGGTTTCCATTTCCTTATTCATAAAATGAATGGGTTCTACTAGAATGACCATTGAGATCACTTGTAGCTGGCCTCTCCCCATCTATACCATTTCACTTATCTAGAATCTATTGTACTTGGCCTTTGTGAGATGCTGGAGTTTCACCACCTCCACAAACCTTCTTCAGACTTCTTTCTTTGAATCTTTGAGCTTATCACCAACACCATCCAAATTAGCATTCACTAATACTCTAGTTGTTTTGCTTTGAGTATAGTAGTTTATTTGCCACATTCAAACAGAAAATTAGAGGCTATGAAGCTTGATTTTCAAATCCTCCACAGCCTGTTACTTAGCTCAATGATTAATTACTGAAAGTGAATAAAGATATAGAAAATATGTATACAATAGTAACCTTCCCAAAGAGCAACTTTCATCAGCTCCCTCAAAACTAATTACCCTTATGAGCAACACAAATTGATCATCTGATTCAGGCAGGGATAATGTGTACTATGCCAATGAGACAGCAATTAGGAGACACTATTAGATTCCCATATGCCTTTGTACATAATCATAGTTTCCTTCAACAGTAAAAAAGCTCAAAAGGGAAAAAATGCAAGCAAATACTTCTATTACAGTATTACTCACTGAAAGATTTGTTACCCACTAAAATAGGTCATACGAAAAATATCCCTACCACAATTAAGAGAAAAAAATCAATTACTAGTAAGAGACCACAATTTAGACATTTGAAAACTACAATGAAAATCACCCTTGTTCCTCCCCACTCTTTGGATGTCATAGAAGTTCTGAGTAAGAGGAGACCAAGTTAGGGTGTCATGTGGGGTCATGGGGGTGGGGGTGGGATTTACCTACTTCACCGGAAAACAGTGGGATACAGGTTTTACTTGTTCTGGTCACCACGCCCCTCCAGCAAATAATTAAGGCTTTACATTTGTGGGTAACCTTCCCTATGGAGGTATTCAGTTATATATGAACTATTACTGGGGTAAGATTATTCTTTTTCTTTTCCTTTTCTTGAGACTATGTAGTTCAGGCTGGCTTTAAACTCTCTATGTAGAAGGCTGACCTCAAACTCTTGGCGATCCTCCTGCCTCAACCTTCCAAATGCTGGGATTATGGGTGTGGCCACCATGCCCAGCTAAGATTTTTAGTTTTGGGAAGCTAAGAAAACTTGCATAATAAAACTTCAATATCTCAAAGTCAAATTCTCAATCCAATTTTTTGTGATCGCCTTAATTTTCCTATTAATGTTTTAAGGTAGTTGACACTCTGTATTAATACTAACATAAACTAACATTAACAAGCTTTAACAGCTAGCTAACTTTAGTGAATTGAAATTAAGTCCATTTACAAATTACTCCCCTGTGATGAAACATTTGTGTTCCCACCTAACCCATGCAGTATAGAAAGAGAATTTGTTCTGAAATTCACATTATATTCATACAATGCAAGGGGCTGAATTGAGTGTATCTGTAGAGGGGGAAGGGATTTATTCAGGTGTGGGAAGGTGTGGATCATGGAAAAACATAGCACTAATTCCATTTAAAAGGTTATATTTAGTATTGGTTAAATATAATTTTTGCATACATTTTCCTAAGGAATCCCAACAAAAAGCAACAAGGTTTTACAATCTGAGGGTAATGATATGCGTTTTGCTTTTTTTAAAAGCGATTTTTATTTTTAAAAACTGCCTCTCAATGTTTTCAAGCCTTTCAATTTTGTTGTTGTGGTGGTGGTGGTTGCTTTTGTTTTTGTCTTTTGAGACAGGGTCTCACTATGTAGTCCAGGCTGGCCTCAAACTCCCTATTGCTGGGATTACAGGCGCGGCTCAATGGTTTGTTTTTATCTGGTGCTTCTAACCATCCAATCAATGCATCCCCTAGGGAAGCCTGCCAGCCTACCTATACAGCCTGAAGACTGGATTAGGTTCCCTCCTTTAGCCACATCCATGCGCACAGGCCACCAGCAGAGAATGACAAGTATGCCGGGCCCCTAGCTCCCTCATTTACCTCAACGGCCCATCTCCTGGCCTTAAACCCTGTTATTTCCTTCCAGCTCCAGCAAATAAGACAGAACTCAGTTTCTTCTCATTTAGGTCAGGCCAACTCTACTCTTCCGGGGTCCTTTGAAAGGAGACACAGTACCACCAGAGAAGGGCTGCTTCTCCATAACCCACAAAAAAGGCATAATCCTGACCATATGGTGAGTTTCAGAGGAACACACTCCGATTCTATGGGTTCACAACCAGGCGCGATCCCATAAAATCGTAAAGTTGGAAAAGACCCCGAAGTTCATTTTCTGTTGTGCTGAGGCCACCACACGAAGCCCATTTAAGCTTTCGGTGGGGTTTTGTATTTAAGATGTTCCACACAAAGTAACACAGCTCCTGAAGCCTAGAGTCCATTCATTTCAAGTTCAGAGTAAAATGACGAAGGGTGTCTTCCCAATCCCATCTGCTCAACCCTAGTACTGAACTTCAGTTCGAAGAGAAGCTGTCCGGCGACTCCGCCGGCCGCGTCCTCCTCACTCAGTTCGTTGACGTCGGGGGGCGGAATCCTGACCCAGTAACCCATCATTCTCCTCTCCAAGGACCGCGACGGCAAGACCCCCGCTCCTCTCCCGACCTTGCACTACTACCCCTCAAGGAGCGGGGCTCGACTCCAAGTAACCGCAACAGGCAACCTGGACTGACACCCAATGAGCAAGGGATCCCTGAACGAGCCCGGCCAATCGCGTCCGGCGAGCCCAAACAACCAGACGTGACGTCAGGTGTGATTAAATTGGCGCGTCACCCTGACGTCAGCCTCGCCTCGCTCGGACGTCCCGTCCCGGGAGCAAAACTCCGGCGACTTTGGGCCCGGCCCCCATGAGGGAAGGTGGCCAATGAAGGCGGCCCCCAGGGAAACCGAGCCAATGAGACGCGCCCGGGGCGGGGCGCGCGGCCGAGGGTGGGGCGGACGGCGACGGTGGCAGCCCGAGGTCTGGCTGCGCGCAGTCTATGACAGTACGTCAGCAGCGGGATGGCCGTAGCTGCGGCGGCGGCTGCAGAAGTCCGAGCAGCCGCGGCCGCAGTGGACGCTAGAGCCCGAGCGGCGTCGGCGGTGGCACCCCGGGGAGTTTAAGATGGCGGCGGGGGGGACGGCGGGCCTGCGGGAGGAGCAGCGCTACGGACTGTCCTGCGGGCGGCTGGGGCATGACAACATCACCGTGCTGCATGTGAAGCTCACCGAGACGGCGATCCGGGCGCTCGAGACTTACCAGAGCCACAAGGTGAGGCGGGGCGGCCGGCCGCGCTCGGGGAGGAGAGGCCCGGCGCGGCGCCCGCGGAGCCCGGCAGGGGCGCGGATGCCGCGGCGTTGGGGGCGGAGGGCGGAGGGCGACTCGAGGACGCGCGGCCCCTGGCGGCGGGGCCGGGGCAGCCGCGGCCCGGGCGGCGGCGCGGGCGCTGCGGGACTTTCCGACGGCGTCCGCGGGTTTCCCGGCTCGCCCGGTTCCCCGGAGAGAGAGAGGCCCCGGGCCGGGGAGCGGGGCGACCGCGCCGCCTACCAGTAAAGAACTGGGCGGCGCCGGCTGTCGGCGCGTCTGTGGGCATCAGGGACCCTCAGGGACCCGGACACCGGCGCCGTGCCTGGGGGCCGGGGCGCAACTTGTGCTCCCGGGAACTTGGGGACGCAGGCGCTTCGCTGACGGGCGGGCGGGCGGGCGAGCGAAGCCCGTGTGCTCGCCGAGGCAGGAACGCGGCGCTCGGAGCTCGAGGAGGGAGGGGACGCACCTTGCAGACCCTGGGACGCGGGGCACAGGCGACGTGCGCTCCCGGAGACACCCGAGGACTCGCGCACACCTAGTGAGGGTTTTCCGGGGAAGGAAATTGGCGGAAACGCAGGGTACCCAAAGGACGCACCGCGTCCGGGGCTGACTGTGGGATTCACCGGCTAGGAGCGATCCTGAAGGTGGGAAGGTCGTACACTGAGTTCTCGCCCCCGCCCCGCCAGACTCCCGCCTCTAACCCGCGCCCCGGGGCTCTCCCGTGGACACACAGCCCGAGTGCGGGAGAGGCGCACACACAAAGACGCCGCAGCCGGAGCACGAATCCGGGAACGCTTTCCCGGTGATAAAAAGTGAGAGATGGTGGAGTACCAAGAAGAAACGCTGACAACAGGGGTACACAGTAGCCTGAGAGCAACTGGGCACATTGCATGGGAAAGGCTGTACCGTATGGGGACGGTAAAACTACTCCGAGAGGACCGAAGACCGTCTAGATGAGGGGAGAGGAAACCAGCGAGGCGTCCTTGTGACAAATAGCCCAGTCCATACCAGGGAACACACTTCAATAGATTTCGTAAAGCCAGGGACCGAGGGACAGCCAGACACAGCCTCGCGTACTTAATTCAGATAAAAGTGGAGAAAAGAATTAACATCTGTTGAGCTCCCACTAGTGTCAGGCACTTTAAATGCACAGGGAGAAGACCGAGTCCCAGGCAGCGCTGCTAGTGTGAACCTGAGCCAGCTGAGCTTAGAGCGGCCCCTCCACACGCGTGCACACGGGAGGCTCGCAGCTCCGCACCCCTCGGGAACTATATGAACCCACGAGATAGGTCTGATCCAGTAGGAGAGATTCAGAGGTGAGCATACTCAGGAGGACACTCAAAGAATTGCACAGACAATGTAAATACCAGGATGCATGTGTCACCCACCGAAGGCGCTATGTTGAAAAACCGAGGCTTCCTACGGGGTTGTGGGGAAAACAACAGGGAGGAGTGCATGTGTAAGGAGAGAATACCTTACTACCCACAGTGAAATCCCAAGGGAAAAGAGCCTCAAGTATGGCTGGTATTTCAATGTATACCGGCAATAAAGATCCAGGAAGATAAAAGACATAGAAAACCGCACGTGTGCCAGTAGCTGCTCCTGCACCGGTACACCTGCAGCAGAGAGACCAGCACCAGCATGGAATGGGAGGCCCGTATGGGGAGCGCCAGGCACGGGAAGGCAGGCAGGTAGGCGGAGGAGAGAAACTAAGTCCTTCGAGATGGAGAGATAAGCTTGCCCATTCCGAGGGAAGGGCGTGGGAAGGAATGATTGTGGGAAGAAGGTAGGGCAGGAGATGGAAAAAGAAACACACACAGGTCTGGAGAGGAAAAGGTCAGCTCCCAGAAAGAAACAGGCCTAGGAGCAGAGAAAGACTGGCACACAGTGGGTGGAGAGAGGACCTCTCGCGGCAGTGGGTCAGCCACGCACCCACCTTAGGAAACAGCAGGCAAACTGTGCAGCTGAACAGTGCAATCCTCGGTGGGGAAGGGGCAGGGTGAAGAAGCCCAGGTAGGGAAGGGAGATGGTAAAGCCCAGGGTGAGTAAAGTGAGAGACACACACACACAGACACACACACTGATCTGGGGAACCACTGAATCCCAGGAAGGGAGCACAGCTTGTTTTCCTCTCTGTGTGGCCTTCATTTCTGCCTCCTGTACGCTAATATTTTCATGTGTGGGAAAACCCTACACTTATATACCAGTGTCTTCCAGGAGACAAGACATCAGAAATTCTTTCTCAACTCACCTCTTATTTCTTGATTTTTTAAAAAAGAAATTTATTAAAATTACTGAAATTAATGGCTTTGTTTGCTCTTAACTGCTTCTATTGACTATTAATATCGTTACTGACTTTTTCCATCTCTGGACATGCATATTAAAGGATCTGGTCAATTATACAGAGGCAGAAAGGGAAATGGAGAAGACTTAATTTCTAAATCCATCCACCTTTCTAAGTGTGAAGCCCCATAGATTGAGTTAGTTTCCGAATTCCCTTTCTCCTGAAAAACTGGAGGTAGAAGCAGTGACATGCTGCAACTTGGAGAGGAGATTGAATACGCTGACTTGACATATGCTGTTGGACATTATCTTCTTTCTGCCTTAACTAGCTTCTGTCACTTCAGTTCAGAAACATTTTTTTATGGGGCTTGGAAAGCCAGCTGGAATTGGGGTAAAAATGTCAAGGCCAGTGGGTTGAAAAGTGGGAAGAAGCTGAAGAAATGCCGGACTAAGTGCTGTTGGTACTTACTGCAGTATCTCTGGAGTCTTCAACTGAGCCTCTCCATATGCGCTCCCATTGCCTCTCCTCCCCTCTTAGCCAGGGCGGGGCTCCCCCGCCCCGGGCAGAATAACAGTTATCAGCAGTAGGCATCTGACTGAGCTTTCATCTTCCCCTGGAAGGATATCTATTCGGCCTTTTTCACTTTCCATCTTTGTCAGAAATAGGGTTCATGACCTGAAATTGTAGCTACTGTTTGGAAATATGTTGGCATGAGTTGGATAACAGAAAAGATTTTAGATGGTTAAGCTTGTTCTCTGTAAGGGAAAAAAATTGACAAAGAACTGCTCCCACCTTTGAATATACAGGAGGGTGTTGGATGCTGGATGACAAACAGCCTGTGCAGAGTGATGACTATTACTCCTTCTCTTCTAATGACTTTGTCAGGGCCAGAAATTGCAACAGGTTAATTTGCCACACCAAGCATCAGAGAGTTCTTTTCTGTACATATGATTTTGTCCAGTTGATTCACACCTTTACATTACCCACTTGACCTAAGGTTTCAGAGAAGTAAATTTAAGATTTTGGGAAGCTGTGATTTAAAGTGAATCGAGAAGTTCTTTAAATTCTTTAGATATAACTGAACAAAAATACTAAGTTATTAGGGTTCACAGAAACAGAATCTTTGAAAATACAGAGATCTTGGTTTTCTCAGAACACTGTTCCTCACTGTTTGAAAAGACAAACTTGATTTACCTTTATTATTCAAGTTTTCTACTTTTAGAGAGCTCTTGGGAGCTTTTCTAAATGGGTAAGGGGACAGTGTAAACACAGGACAGGAACGATGGCTGGAACATCTTCTAAAAGTTGATTTCTAGTCACTTTGAATATGGAGATGGTTTCAAATTGATTATATGTACGGTTTTGACTGGAAAGATATTTTGATGGTTTCCAGAAAAATTTAAATATGCTATTACAAATACCTAGCATATCAAGCTTTTTTCAAATGTAGATAGATGATTTTTGAATGAAAGAATAAGTCAGTAAAGTCACAAATTACAACTTTAATTTCATTTAAAATGGTATCTATGAGTGTGTGGTCTGCATAAGCCCTACTTATTTCAAATGCGCATGTGTCACTATAAATATATATTTCTTCCAAATGTGAAATTACATTTAAAATGAAAATACAAATTTTTTTTTTTTTTTTTTTGGTACCGGGGATCGAACTCAGGTCCTTCCGTTTGCAAGGCAGGCACCAGAACCACTGAGCTACATCTCCGGCCCAAAAATGCAACATTTTGTAATATATTTTGGCTGATTTCCCCCAGTAATGTAGCTGGCTTTCTTTTGACATTTGAATAATACATTTATGAAACAAAAATGTTACCAAAATATTGTTTTTAGATTTGAACATTGCCTAGCCTGTCAGCTTGGTTTCTAAAAAATGTTTGCTTAGAGTTTCAAAGATGATGGCTCAATTATTATACTTAACTATTACCTAAAAAGTACTTTGTATGAATGAGTATTCAAGTTACTTCTCTATACCTGAGATCAGAATAGGATTCTGTTAATATATTCTCGTGTCAACTCTCTTGGTTTGAAATAAATTTTCCTGCCTTGGTTAGTACCATTTAGGAAAATGTTACTGCTTTCAAAATTTGTACAAATATACTTTAATACTTCAAGAAGAACTCAGTCTCCCTGAATTAACAAATACTATTTCCAGTCAAAGCATAAATATTATTTAACCCCCCAAAGTTATTGTCCTTCATAATATCACCTTTTAATGTGTTACTTGTTTTTAGTTTTTTAATCTCTGCTTGCACAGATCATGGGGTAGGCAATTTCCCCACCTTAGCCTTTCTATGAGGTGAACTTTTCAGCTTTTAACTCGTGCTTTAAGATGCAGAAAAATCTCATCCCTGGCTTCCTCTTTCTTGTTTTCTTTTTTTTTTTTTTGGTACCAGGGATCGAACTGGGGACCTTGCACTTGCGAGGCAGGTGACGGCACCACTAGGCTAAATCCCCAGCCCCCTTCTCTTTTTCTTTGTGACCTCAAACAGTTTATTGGTGTTTTCAAGAGTCTCCCTTATAAACGCAGAAGCCTGTGTACTACATAAGCCGTGGCTTCAGCATCCAGACCTGCTAGCATAGTGCTGCCCTTACTGGCAGACACATTTATTAAGTGAAACAATGAGGTTTGCTGTGGCAGATTCCATTTGTTCCACTTCAAAAATGT